TACTTCGAAAAATTTTATTCTTGAGAAAACATCACATTTTTTTCCAAGCAAAAAACGTTTGGTTCTAGACTTTTTATTCACCTGGTATGTTTAAAAACCACTGCTTATGGTCCAAATTATTTTATTCCTTATTATCCACCATTTTATCGAAAAAAAAAACCCCTTGAATTCAATATTCAATTGTCTTTTTCTCAATAAAAAAATGACAGTGATGTCATCGCTTGAAAACAAATTAATGAAAGTAAAAATTTCAGATTTATACTAGAATATGTACTTATCCTATCTAACTTGAAATTAATTTTATTTTTAGAAGATTAAAACAATACATAGACGATTGCTGATAAATCAAAGTAGGCTATGATTCTGGAATTAAGTTTGCAACACTGAATCAAACAGAAACAGAGGATATGAACTTGACATATGTCACATCTTCTGTCTCGTTGCTAACCCAATTTCAAAATTGATCAGAACTGAATGCATAGTAGTGGTAGGTATCTGTTTTTATATCCGTTTTTTTTTTTCAAATATTATTTTTATCAATAGATAAATTTTAGTCCAAAAATACTTTTATCTTTTTATAAATAAATCTATTTTATTTAATTGAATTAAGATTTTAATGATGATTCGACAAAAATGACTAATTACATACAACCCGACAGATATCAAAATTTGGAACAAGTCGTATGACTTTGAATAAAAAAATGTTTCATATTACATAACAAACATGACTTTTTATTTTAGACCTAATAAACACTTAATTCTCATAAAATATGAAGTCACCCACATGAGAGTATAGCGAAACAAAATTTGCTGCTAAATAAGTGGTCGTACCCTCATGTCTCATATTATGATATTTATTTTGTCATTTATTCAATGAAAATGTTTGAATCTCTTAATTTCTTCAGTAAACAGAAACGTTGATTTCATTACGAAACAGACTCAGATTTCTATAATTTAAGTCGGGAGTAGTGAAAACTATAATTACTTGCGCCGTTAAAAACTGCATATGTGATGGTGATTAGGCTTAATTAAATTATAATTATAAGAACTAAATTAACAGTATTTGAGCTTTATTTTTCCACCAACATTTTTTTATTACAAATTTGTATTTTGTAGTTATACAAATGTCAACAATTATTCTTTTTCCTGGTCCCACTGGAAAGTCCAGTCTAGTTTTTTAACCAATTTTTATCCGGCACCTCCCAAACTGGGTGCAACTGCTGCACATTTCCATAAACATCTAATCAAGCCAGAAAAATGCAAGAATGAAATCGCTCAATTGGCGCAAAGGCTTTCGACCTCGTCTAACATGTCTTTTATTGCAAGTAACTGTCTCCATCTCCCAAAAAACAAATGAATCACGCGAAATTCCGAGAACTTGGTGCATAAAACATAATGACTTTGAGGGGACTAGAATCATCTGGCCCATCATTGCTGACTCACCCTGTATTAACTCATTTGCATCGTCAGGTGTTTTACAATTGACTTTTTCCGTTGTTTACTGTGGGCGATTTTAGTAAAGAAGAAAAATTTTATTGTTTGTGTGGCTGGTAGGGTAAGTCCGGGAAAGATGGCCACATTTTGAAAAACGTGCTGTAAAATTATCTTTATTTTCAAACCACGAGTGTTTTTTCTGCAAGATACTAACAATTTTCGATCAAGTTGCCTAAATTATTTATCATTTTGTATTGGCCCACACGTTTTCCATTGAAAATTTAAAACGTGGAGCTTTAGAAATTTAGAATGGTTCCTAGTTCCAAAGTCCAGTTCTCCCGGATTTACCCTACCAAATATTGCACCAGGCCGTGGTACTGTTATTTTTATCGGGTTTTTCGCAGCGAGTATCGATTCTACCTGCATCGAAAACACTTTACTGGTTACCACCACGATCACCATTATCGACCTGATTTGTTTTTTTAGCTGTAATTTTGTTATTATGGTTCCATTAACTTGTTTATTCGGTTCTAATTGTTTTTGGGTTTTAAGGACGATGCAATTTGGGTACTTTGGGCAAATTAGCCGGCTTTCAAACGTCAGCAAAGAAATAATTATCGACAATTATTACTACTTTAAAAACACAAGAAAAAATAAGACTTATTTGATCTCAAAAATTTCAGAGAAATTTGGATAATTTGGCAACACTTCATTTTTTTGAAATAATTTCGTTATTACAAACTATAGTTCGAATTTTTACACACAACATTGATCTGTCTTAATTATTGCTTGGTAGAAAAGTTACTAGAATTTTATTTTGCTTATCTGTATTAAAAAATGTACAATTTTGAAGTTATAATTACGAAAATTTTATAAAAAATTAGCAAATTTAGGTGCATTATGTACATACTGATTTTTTGTTTTATAATGAATATTTGTAATTATCTACTAATACTTGTTACTATTCATTAAATCATAAATGTTTTTTTATTAATTAGAGAAGAAAATTTCAAATTCGAGCTACACTGGCACTACAAAATCTCATTTTAATAAATTTTCTTTGAAAATGACTTTCTCGAAAAGAATTAACAACTTTCTAATGTGACTGGGACCGACCCCCTACCCCCAAATTTTAATTAAATTCTCATTGGAAAGTAATATTTTCCAGAAAATGAAACTTCTAACGAGAAAACTAAAAATCACGTATTGGAAAGCAGTGATTTCAGTTAAAAAATGTTTAATAAACACAGTTATGCCTTTGGAAAATGAAAAATGTTGAAAAGCAGTTGTAAAAAAACAACCGTTTGGTGTAAAATGCGCATGAAATTGCCTCAGAGTTTACAAGTCAATCGACTGTCAGTCTCTCAGGAGGAAATTAAACAGCGTGCTATTAAAAAAATAACAATTTTTATTTCCTTTTATTACAAGGTAATTATTATCGGAGAGAAATAAACGCATCTGGGACTTTATTACCACTAAAACTCGAAGACAACGTGTAACTGTTCTTTCTAACAATGAAAATTTATGACCAATATGTGTTCGGTAAAACACCGGCCATTATTTAATATGTTGCCAACTGAAATTTGCAAGTCACTAGTTTTTTGACCATTTTTACAACTACAAAGTTGCGTTCTAATGTCGTAATCAGTTTTGTAAATAAATAAGACCGCAACCACGCACCTCAAAATCTAGGAGTTTTTGTTTTTTTGATCAACTTGTGAAATATTTGAGTTAGTGACATTTGAAAATTTAATTTTATGGAAATAACATAAAT